CAGTACCTAAAGGGAGCCTACAAACAGGAGGGGAATCAACTCTTTGAAAGGGTTGATAACTGCAGGGCAAGGGAAAATGGCTTTAAGTTGAGGGAGGGAAGATTTAGGTTGGATGTCAGGGAGACATTCTTTACAGAGAGAGTGGTGAGGTGCTGGAACAGCTGCCCAGAGAGGCTGTGATGCCCCGTCCCTGGAGGTGTTCAAGGCCAGGCTGGATGGGGCCCTGGGCAGCCTGGCTTTAAAGGAGGAGGTTGGCGGCCCTGCATGTGGCAGGGGGTTGGAGATTCGTGAGTCTTGAGGTCCCTTCCAACCCGGGCCATTCTGTGATTCCGTGAGGGGAAGAGCGGTGGATGCGGACGGTCGGAAGCGATGCCGGCCCGGCCACCTCCCGAGGAGGAGCGGAGCGCGGGCTCCTCAGGACGAGGGGCGCCGCCCGCCGCCGCTCGCTCTCCCATCTCCCGCCCCCGCTTTCTCCCCGCCGCGCCCGGCCCGGTGCCGCGCCTCGGGGGCGCGCGCGGCCGCCGGTTCCGCCTCCTCGTCCGCCGCCTCCCCCTGGCCGCCGCCATGTTGGATGGTGCGTGTGGGTGTCAAACCCAGCCAGAGGCGGCGGCGGCCGGGCGCCGGGAGCCCTCCTGCGCTCCTCCCGTTCCCCTCAGGTCAGTCCGGGACCGCGGGTGTGCGCGGAAAGGCGGCGGGAAGGCCTCCCGGGCCCCTTCCTTGCCCCTCGGCCTCGCCCCTCGGCGCGGGCTGGGCGCGGGAAGGGCCCCCGGGGGGCCGAGCGGGGCCCGGCGGCGTGAGGTGCGGAGCGGGGCCGGGGGAGGCCGCCGTGTGCCCAGCGGGGCCGGGGCTGCCTTTTGTTGTCCGCGCCGGGCGGTGGGTAGCAACGGTTCGGCCATCATGGCGGGAGGAGGTTCCGGCAGCGCAGCCGGTGCCGCCGGGAGGAGCGCGGCGTTGGGTGGGGGGAGCGGCGGCTGCGGGAGCGGCCCGGCCCGGCCCGGCTCTGTGAGCAACGGGGCTTTTTTTTTTTTTTAATTTAAGAATCTTCCCCCTCCTTTCCCTCCCCCCCCCCCCCCTTTTTTTTTTTTTTCTTCCTCCTTTTTGTTTTTTTCTCCTTTATTTTTTGATTTTTTGATTTTTAATCCTCTCCCCGCAGTAGGTTGGATGCTGTGCTTTGAGCAGTTAGCGCCCTGCGTTAATCGTTGTATCTCGGAACGATATTTCGGCAGCGATCATTACGGGCTGCCAACAATGAGCCTCCCCTGTTGTAAAGCCGTGAGGCGCAGCGCTAACAGCTATGTGAGCTCAGCGCCGTTTGGCCGAGGGGCGTGCAGTGCCTTCCCCCCTCTTTATCACTCATCCAGAAAGCTCAATGATCGTTGAAATCGACACCGACTGCACTCGCCCGACAATCTAAGAGGTCTTTTCTAACCTTAACGACCCCACTGTTCTATCCTTACAAAGGAAGTACCCCATCCGGAGGCACGGAGCACTTGTCCCGATGGCCGAGCTGCGGATGTTGCAGGCTGGACTTCAGGAGTTCAGAATGCAAATCAGGCCACGGCGTTGGGTTGGTTTATTCTCCCCGCTGAAATGTGTGTTTTATGGAAATATGGGGCTCTTGCGTAATGCTGTATTTTGTGCGAGGCAAGGTCAGAGAGAACCGGGTTGCTTAGGTTTAAAATGCTGGATGTTAGATTTAGATTTTGGTTTTTGATTAAAATACAAACATGTAATAACCGTATCTCCAGCAAAATGCAGTCTGTTTAGGAAGTACTTCAAAATATGTTTATCTTGGCTGATTCCCAGGCACATTATTTTCAAACAAACTCCTGTATTGTGTTTCCTTGTGAAGGATTAAAACTTTTGATACGTTCTCTCTTGCAGTTCAGGGGTCGCGGCAGACTGACTGGATAGAGTTTCAGAGATAATCTGCCATATATTAAATATTTAACCGTGTTATCGAGAATTACCGAGTACAAATTAACCGTGAGTTTGCATTCCTGAAGACGGGATCTGATAAGGCTGAGCTGACTGTGAGTTACTCCTCAGGAAGTTTGACTTAGTGATGCTGATTGCAACTTCCTTGGTGTCACAGAGCAGCTGTGTGACATCATCGTGCTGCAGTGATGGGCGGCAGCTCTTTGTGAGTTCTGACCAATGAAAAATAGTGCCCGCTTTGAAGAAATAGGGTATGAAAAGCCACTCTTTTTTAGGAGAAAGGAAAAAAGAAAAAAAAAAAAAAAGAAAAGAGGACTTTTTGCTTAAGCAGGAGCTAAATTGCCTTGGGTGACATGTGGGAAAGAAAAGTCCTACCTGGGAGTCACCTGGTGGTCCTGTCCTAGCAGAACAGAGACCCAAGCCCTGTCTGTCGGTTTCCTGGTGGTAATTCCATGGTGTTTTCCACATCCATTATTCTTAGAGTCATATTTAATGACCAGTTGCCAAACATCTGATGTCCAGTGCAAGCAGTGCTGTGCAGTGCAATGCGTGTGGATGAATTGTGCTTGTACTGACTGTGTTGTTATTTAAATAACTGGTTAATCATGCTAATTGTGTTCCGGCTGTCAGCCATTTGATTGCTTCAAAACTTGGAGCTTTTAAGAAGCCTCGAATCTTGGATCACTGCTGCAAAATGCCAAAGGCCTAATTTGTTACTTCAGAAAAATGCTGATAATCTTGATAGAGGAGTTGGCTTTTTTTTTTCTTTTTTTTTTTTTCCTTCCTCCCAAGGAGTGATTAAATTCTAATGTCTTAGGAGAAATATCTTACTGATTAGCTGTGATGTGCGTGATGCTGCTCCTGTGTAGGGTGGGGAAATTAGTGTTGCTTTTGTGTGGTCAAGAATAGAACATACTCTGAAACCTTTGTGCAATGACTGGTGCTCAGGAAACAACTTTCAGGTCTTCCAGTGCCATATTTGCAGAGTACTAAATTGTCTCTTGGGATCTTGCTAATAGGAAATGAAAGGTGTCTGGTTTGTATGAATGCCTGTAATGTTCTTTTTCCACTTTGTCTTGCTCTGATCTGTGCAGGGAAAGTATTGAAATGTACCAGTATCCTGCTGTCTTAAGTGCTTCAAAGAGCAGTGTTTTTTGTGCATTTCAGTAGCCTAGCTGCTCATTAAGAAAGCATGAGACACTGTGGAGGAGAACAACATGTATGCTGTCCTCTGGAATAAAACCTTTTAGGTCTAATTGCAGGTCTGCTAGCATTGATATATGTCAGTTTGGTTACATACTGGTATGTGCTGAATAGCAGACCTTAAAAATCTCAGAATTAATCAGTTTTGGTGGCTGGTATGGGATTGCTTTCCTTTCCCATGAGGAAAAACAAAAAAAAACAAAAAGAAAAATAGAATGCTTGTATAACAGAATAAGTGAATTGGGAGGCTGTAAGTTTCAGGATGGATCTAGAATTGGATGGCCACAGCAGCTGAGCCTCTGGGGAAGTGATGTAGGAGGCAGAAGGTTACAGAAAAGCTGCTGTTGCGTGTTTACCAGGAGCTTTTGGGTTTGCTTTGGGTTTTGGTAGACTTTGTGGTGGTGGTCTAAACTGTGATCAGGCAAACTAGTTTGGAAGCAATTGGAAGTTTGGGGCAGTTTCTAAGTAGGAGGTAAATAAAATGACTGAGGCTGAGTTCCTCCAGGCTGTACTGTATGTGTTCAGAGTTACCACCTGAAGTTCGATGCATATAAATATCTAATATTGGAATTTATGTGAGTGATTATAGCATTAGAAAATGGATATAAAAGTATTTTGTGTTTTCTACTCCCAGTGCCATTGGCAACTAGGAATGTTTATCAGAATTTGATTTTTAGTTCGCCCTTATGCATTTCTATGTGGAAACATTATTTGGGATGTTTTCCTTTCAGTGATACTATGTTTAGTGAAATGCTTTCTCCTTTATAGATAACTGTCAGCTCATTCTTTCATACAGTTACAAAAACTAATCTTAAAAATAGATCCCAGCATCAGTGCCCTGCACCGTGTTAATTGTTAATAGTGTGTATATCTGTTTTCATGTCACCCAGGGCTGGTAACATCAACGTCTCTAACTGTTCCTTCCCAGCTTGTTCTGGAGGTCAGGCTTGGTTTGCTCATGCCTTGCCCTGCATGCCGACCTGGCAACGACTGCTCTTTTCAGGTGGGGGAACTGGAGCGCAGTGCAGAGCTGTGGTGTGAGCAGGTCCCAGCTCCTGGAGCTGTTTGCATCCCAGGCTCTCTTCATCCTGGCTTTACAGTGGAAGTGTACAAAATCTCCAAAATCTCTGATGCTGTAATTCTGTTGTCCTGGCGCATGCAGTTTATTTTCATTTTATCTCACAGTTCTTCCACGGTTAGGAATGCAGCTCCCTGGGCTGTCTGAAGTAATTAGTGGGAATTCTGGTGCGAGACCTTGTGATCCATGCAGTTCCCTTCCATGTTGCTGGCTGCTCCTGTCTTTCCTCAAGTGCTGTTTTATTAATGCAGCCTCCACTTGCTGAGTCTTCAATCATGTACCGGTGTAATAAATACTACGTTTACAAGGCATGGAAAGTAAAATGGTTGTGGAGGGTGATCAGGTGGGATGCAGTCTGCTTCTGTGGAAGTGGTACAAACCCATCTTTTGTCTCCCAGACTTCTGTCTCGGTGTACTTTCTTGCCCTCGTGATTACCTTGCACTTTGCACACATACACCCATTTTATTGCTTATTTAAATAGATGTCCTGGTTCCTGTCTCTCCTGGGGTGATGTGCACATTCACCATGGCTTAGATATGATCACCTTTAGACCCAATATTTTGTGGTATGGTTTTTTCCAACGGAAATTTCTGCTCTTATCCCTTAGAGTAAAATATTAAGCTGTGAATCATTCACTTGTTTTATACTTATAATGTTATCACTTAATACTTTTACAAATTAATTGATACTGGGTTTTTTTTGTTTGCTTGTTTAAATTGTAAAGCTGCTTGCTAGTTTAAAAACACGCTGGGAGCCTTTACCTGAGGGTGTTTTATGTCCAGTCCACAGGATAGAATCAGAATACCCTTGTCAGTTGTTCAGTGCAGCAGTAGCTGAACTTGTGCCCAATTTGTGGGGCTGCTGTTCTAGAAACGACAGCATAGAGATGGGCAGTGAATTGTGAGGGCTGTAGTTAAACGCCGCGTCTGTCCCTCCTGAGAAACCCAGTTGCCAAACGTTGAGTTAACCTTGCTTGGAGGGATGTTCTTGCAGTTCTGAAGGTGTCACATCATAAGGTAATGTCTCCAAAATCAGACTGGTAGTTTTCATTACTTAAGAAGCAGAAACCCAAGTAGAGTGAGCTCTGTACTTCAGTTTGCTGGCTTGTTCCGTTGGGTTGAGCTGTGCCACGGGGAAATCTCCCAATGTGTGCTGAATCTCCCATGCAAGCTGAAGGCGTGAGGTGGGTGATGGAGCAGATAATGATGGTTTTTTTTCTTGGTTTGAACTTACATTGGTTTCCGGAGTTAACATCGATTTAGCATTTCTGAACCTTTACCAGGGCAGTGGTCTTTCCTAGCTTTACTAGAACAAAGGCATTTTAAGAATTTTCATGGAGAATTGTGTAATCTTATTACAACTGTTCCTATTTAAATCCCTTCCTTGTACTTAAATAACAATCTGTTGCCAGGTATTTCTTGATTGTAGTTTTTGTCAGATGCAATTTCTCCCCCTTTGTGTTTCTGTTGTATTTTTTTGTGATTGTGCAACCCTTAGGTTGGCAAACAGTTTATTTCCCAGTCAGTTCTTCTGACTTCATTGGCACTGATTGCATGAGCAATTGCTCACTAGTGTAAGGGTTGCACAGTTCACAAATAAGACCTTTGTTTGTAGGACCTCACGGACAGAACGCACAAAAATAATCAGAATACAGTTCTGATATTCCTCAGGGAAAGGCAAAACAAAGTATTTTTAAAAGCAACTTCCTCCTTTGAGACGCAGGCATGAAAGACTCCCTCAGACATCTTTTCTTGCAGATAAGAAACCCGTACTGGAGCGGTGAGTTGTGTGTTGCTGTCTGGGTGAGCTGACTTGAGCAATGTTTGGGTTTGACCGTTCTCCTGATTTTTATTTTGAAGCAGTCAGGATTTTCTCAGCCTGTTCTGTTCACCCGGTTGCTGGTGCTGTTGCCTTTCTGCTAAGACCCAACTCTGCGCAGGGATAAGGCTCGTGACTTCCAGCAGGAAGATGCAGCTGTTTGATCCAGCCCCTTCCCTAACCCTATAAAATCAGCAAAAACTGAAGATCGTTAATTAATCCTCATCCTTCTGTTGTAAATAGAGCTTGTGATGTGCCTGCCTGCCCTCTGACTGATGGCCAGGCATGCTGTCCTCGGTCATGCTGTATGTGAAGGGAAGTGCCCAAATTATTATTTGAAAAACAGAACTTCAACACTTTTAATTATTCAGTTAGCTAATTAATCAGTGAAACACGTTACCATTTGGTGACGTTGCTGCAGCATCAGGAGTTATGTCTGCTTAAGGAGAGACAGGAATCCTGCATTTCCAGCAGTGTGCAGATCCAGGGGAGATGTGGTGAATCTTTGCAGCGCTCCTGCCCAGGTATTTCGTCATTTGATAAAACCTCTTTGTGCAAAAGCCATTTGAAAGCATCAGACTCACATCTGTTATCTGATAAAACGTTTGCCTCGGAGCGCATACCAGCTTATTGCATGGTTTTATGATTGTTTCTTGTAATGCTGTGTTTCTTGCAGTGATTCTTTCTTTTAAAGGCTTGAAATGCTTACTGATGATGAGAAGTGTTGCTATATTGTTGCTGCTGTTGTTGAACAAAGGTCAGAAAAGTTACACTTCGGTTACCGGTTTGGGAGAGCGTTTCTCAGAAACTAAAGATAATGCCACTGGAGGAATGTGCTCAGATAAACAGTGTGGCACCGAGTGCTTCCCTCGTTAGGAGCGTGCAAACAACGATTGGAAATCAATATTTAACATTGCAGGTGCAGCCATTGAGAATGTCTGTCATTTTCTCCTGTTATATTCTGAAAGCACCGATTTCTGCGTGCTGCTCAGAACAGGACGTTGTGTTGGACTGCAGTTACACGTCCCACTTTTTCATCAGAACTGCTTTCTGAGGGTGTTTTTTAAAGATTGGTACTTGGATGATGTGCCTACAAGATTCCTGTTTGTGTGCTTATAGCTCTCTTGGAAAGAGTTAATAAAGAGGCAGCCTACAGAAAGCTTTGTAACAGGTCTTGTTTGTTTGTTTTAGAATTCTTCAATTTTAGGGAAAACAGAGGATGAATGTTTTTGTGACAACGAGCAAAATCACTTTAAAACTCACTTTTAAACTTTTATTTCAGAGAAACACTGAGGTATATAATGAAAGGATGCGAGGGTGTTATTTTAGTCAGCTGAACTGCTTAAGTGTTGCATTTAAACTTTACAAATCACTGCCCCTTCTGTGAGGCACGGAGGCACAGTGACATGTCAGAGTGCCTCTCCAGACACGTCTGGCTTTCTGTGTGTTTGACAACGTGGGGAATAATCTCCTTTTGCCTCGCCTGCTGCTTAAAGCATGTTGAACAGCACGACTGACGTTTCTGTGTCTGTCTTCCAACTAAGAGCATCCTCTTATATCTAGCTTCCCAGTAACCTGAATATGTGATGCCTCCAAGAGAGTACCTGTGGGTGCTTTGCAGGGCAGAACATGGTACGTATGTGCAGCGTGCGGTGCTGAGAGGTGCTCGGTGTGGTGGTAATTCTGTGCTGACGCTGCAGCTGCTGAAGCACTGAAGATATAAAGAAGGACCGATTGTTTTGTGGGTTGCCTTCATTACACCATTTTTAATATGCTTCCTGAGGGGGTTTCTTTCCTGAGGTTATGGCTTTGGACGTGAGGGGTCTGGGGCTGCGCTGGTCGCTTGCAGTCGATGCCAAAAGTAACATGTAGGGCTTTGGTACTGTGAGCTTACCAGGTGTAAGTGAAGGAAACGTGCTTGAACATCCTGAATTCAGCGTCTTTGTTGTGTGCATGCCAGCACAGAGCTGTGTCTGGATGCCTTGGGATAAAGCCAGAGTTTTCAGCTTTTTTTTTTTTTTTTTGTGGATAGTGTATATAATGCACGGTGGCTTTTCCTGTCTCTGGAAATGCTGATCTTTGGTTTTATTTTAAGAAGGGATTTCTATTTTCTAATTCAGAAAAAAAGAAAAATACACTTCAAAGGAGGAGGAAAATCTGTTTGTTTTCCTTCTAGTTTGTGCTTTATAAAAAAGCTTAAACACATCATCAAAACTTGCTTCCCTTCCAACCTGAGAGCACAGAAGCAGAGCAGATGAAGGAGGGTGGTGTCCGGGGCCCCACAGGGGTGCTGAGCCCCCTGCAGGGGTGCAGTGCAGGATGTGATCCTGCTGGGTCCCTTCCAATTCGGGGGGTTCTGTGGTTTTAAATGCTGTGCAGCCTGTGCTCTGTGAGTCCCCCCTTGCACTTTGCCTATGCTGCTATTAAAATACAGTATCTTTTCTATTTTCTCCTTTCATGGGAAAGCAGAGTAGAGGAAAATTAAGCACCGCCTGCTGCTTACATGCTAAATAGATGCAAATAGGGTCCCCTCCCTTAGTGTTGCATCCTTTCTCCTTACAGGTTGCCACATTGTTTTGATTAAAGCAGTTCCATGGCCAACTCCCAACCTGGAGGGCAGGTGAGAGGAAAAGTCCCTGATTGCAGCTCAGCTATTAACATATCTTTTGGAGTTTGTAATGTCACCTTTTTGCAGAAAACAAGGTGCCAGGAGCTTCAGAGAGCAGAGCATTGTCAGAAAGGCAGACATCAAAGTGGAAAGAAAAGATGAGTTTATTTAAAACATAGTAAAAAGACTTAAAACATTCATGCTAACCTATGAGAGCTATTAAAAATTTTGGAAAGCCTTTGAAGCTGAGCATTAAAGATTTAATGGTATTAATTGAACTAAGCTGTGGGAGTTAAGGATATGTAGACACATGTGTAAGTGTATGTATTCTAAGGCATTATCTGCATTAAGGAGGCTGACTACTGAGTGTGGAGTTCATTGTACTCGGTTTGTGAAGGCTACCTTAACAAAACACTGCTTATTATGGGCCTTAATTAAGAGTAGATACCATAAAAAGCTGAAAGTGTAAACAAAAGTGCAATATACCAACTATCTTTTATAAACCTTCTGTGAGACAGAGAATACCAGTCCTGGTGGACCTGACAAGGCAAAGCAAGCAAGGTAGTTTCTAATGTATGCTTTGAAGATCATTTTGTTTCTTAATATTATCAAGTCTGACTTTTTGTTTAAAGAGTAGATACTGTTTCCTTTCAGTGTTATGAGAACAGTAACTTACTGCTGCTGTACTCAGTAATGTGGTTCCTCCGACCCATGGCAGGACTAAAGGTACGGGTACGGGAATGTTGGTAGTCCTGCTTCCATGTTTGTTGGCAGTTTGGGGAGCTGTTTGCTTTTTGTGTACTTAGAACTCAGCACTGTTGGGACTACTTGTTGCTGGAAGGAGGTGGTCCCTCCCTAGCTTTGAAAATAGCTAGCAAGGAAAAGCTGGATTTGGATCTGTAGCACATTTAACAATTGCAGTGCTAGCCTGGTGTTGATGGAACCATACCATCAAACCATGATTGTTTTTTTAGTTTTGTTTTCCTTTATAACCTGAGAACTCTATTCTAAAGACTTACATGACTGCACTGCTAGCAAGCAGGGGAAAGCCAGGCCCATATGTCCTTTACTGGAAAATGAGCAATGAAAGCTTCTTGCAGGTGTCCAGGTGGTCTGGCGGAGGCAGCTGATGTCCAGGGGCGAGTGGGAGCAGACAGATTTCATTGGCACAGCAGTGCTGTGTGTGGGGACACAGCCAGCCTTGTCAAGAGGGATAACAGGATTGAGGGTGATCTCAGTACATTCATTTTTCCTCCTTCAGGAAGGTGGTTGCTGACAGCACAGGGCGGGTTGTTTGAGCTTTTCTTGCTGCAAATGTAGTTACTAAATGATTCAGCATGATCCTGTACCCACGCGTTTTAGCAGTATTGATGAATTCATTACCCTTCTGTTAGCTGATGGATGTTAATGGACTAGAATGTCTGCTGTGCATTCAAACTAGATGGAACGCTCTGGAAAAAAAATTAGAAAATGGAGTGGGTGAGTTTTTAAGTCACTTTCTTGTTCTGTTTATAAATCTGAAGAGAGAGACTGCTTTTAATAATATGCAGTAAAGGTGGTTAAAAAAATAATCCACAGGGCAGTGCAGGC